ATTTCCCAGTAGCAAATCCTAAATCTGTCCCTGAACTCTCCTCTTACATGTCTGCAGTCACTTCCTCCCTTGCTCTCTGATTGTATGGTAGACCTTGGGTCCAGCCTAGAATGTGGGGAGAGGGCTTCTCAGCTCCAGAAAGCCCCATGCATAAAATGGGGCTTTGCAAGTAGGGAAGAAGGATCCTCAGGGTCAAGTTGCTTTTTGTTGTTGTTGAATTGCAGAAGTCCTTTATATAATCCAGATATTAATCTCTAACCAGATATGGTTTGCAAATGTTTCCTTCCAATCCATGGGTTGCTCTCACATTTTCTTTGTTAGTGAACTTTAATTGACACACAATGTGACATAGTTTCAGGTGTACAACATAGTGATTGGATAACTCTGTATGTTATGCTCTGCTCAACACAATGTAGCTCCCATCTGACCCCATGCAGCCCCATTAAAATACCATTGACTATATTTCCTATGTTGTACATTTCATCCATATATCCTGTTAATTCCGTAACTGGTACTACCACTCTCCAGATTCTGTCTTTTGATGCACAGAAATTTTCCATTTTGATGTAATCCAATTCATCTATTTTTTTTTATTGTCTTTGCTTTGGGTGTCATATCTAAGAAATCATTGGGAAATCCAGTTTCAATAAGTTTTTGCATTATGTTTGTTTGTAGACTTTTCCTATTTGATTCTTATATTTAGATGTTTGACCTATTTAATTTTTGTACATGATGTGAGATCGAGTCCAACTTCATTCATTTGCATGGCTAGCCAGTGTTCCCAACACCATTGGTTGAATAGATATTTTTCTCCATTTAATGGTCATGACAACCTTCTTGAAAGTCACTGGACCACATATGACAAGGTTTGTTGCTGGGGTGCCTATTCTATTCCATTGATCTCTATGTCTGTCTTTATACCAGACCCCATTATTATCAGTTACTGTAGCTCTGCAGTCAGGAAGTAGGAGTCCTCCAACTTTGTTCTTTTTCAAGATAAGTTTGGCGATTTGAGGCCTCTGAATTTCTGTGTGAATTTTTGGAAGTTCTTCTTTCTGCAAAGCATTTCGTTAAGTATTTGATAGGGAGGTACCTGGCTGGCTTAGCTGGTGGAGCATGTGACTCCTGATCTTGGGGTTGTAGGTTTGTGCCCCACATTGGGTGTAGAGAGTACTTAAAAATGAAATCTTAAAACAAGGAACTTGGTAGGAATTACACTGAATTTGTGGATCTCTTTAGATAACACTGTCATCTTAACAAGACTAAGTTTTATCACCATGAACATGGGATGTCTTTCCATTTATTTGTGTCCTCTGTAATTTATTACAGCAATGTTTTATAGATTTCCATATACAGTCTATCAATCATTACAGTGATTGATTAGTAACTTAATTACTAATTAAGTTAATTCCTAAGTATTTGATTCTTTTTTCTGAAGTATTTTATTCTATTTAATGTTATTGCAAATAGAATGGTTTTCCTATTTCTTTTTTGGGTTTTTCATTGTTAGTGTTAGCAACACAGTGATTTTTGTATGTTGATTTTCTATCCGGCAAATTTGTTGAAGTTGTTTATTAGTTCAGTGGTTTTTAGTGGACTCTTTAGGGTTTTGTATATAAAATTTCATGTCATGGGGCGCCTGGGTGGCTCAGTCATTAAGCGTCTGCCTTCGGCTCAGGTCATGATCCCGGAGTCCTGGGATCGAGCCCCACATTAGGCTCCCTGCTCTGCGGGAGGCCTGCTTCTCCCTCTCCCACTCCCCCTGCTCATGTTTCCTCTCTCACTGTCTCTCTCTGTCAAATAAATAAATAAATAATCTTTAAAAAAATTTCATGTCATGTGCAAACAGATATAATGCACTTATTTTTTTACAATTTGATTGCCCTGTGTTTTTTTTCCTCCTAATTATTTTTGCCTGGACTGCTGTACTCTGTTGAATACGGGTGGTGAAAGTGGTACGTTTATCTTCTACCTGATCTTAGAGGAAAGACTGGAGTGTGATGCTAGCTATGGGCTTTTCATGAAAGGCCTTTATTATGTTGCAGTAGTTTCCTCCTATTTGTAAGGGTGCCAATATTCTGTATACAGTAACCACCACTCTACAGAACTTTTTCACCATGAGAGTCAAGCCACAGATCTGTAAGTAAAAGTCTTCTTCACAGTGAGAAAACCTGTAGATTGAAAACTCTTTGATTCCTAAGGTTATGAAGATGGTGCAGGTGGCTCTCATTCCCTAGTAAATTATAACAGTATAAATGCCTTCCCTACTTTGCATGAAGGTGCCTTGGACACAGAGAGGGAAGGGCTGCAAGTCTTCATCCTCCAAAATACATGGAAAGGTATAAAGGAATGAGGCCTGATCTTTTAAAGTCACAGAAGTTCAAGAAAATCACGCCGAAGTCCATGGGAAAAAATTCCTCATGATAATGAGGTTGCTGGCCACATGGGCTAAGATGTCCCTGGTGCTGATGCTACAGTGATGTCCAGGCAGAGCAGACACATGACCGAGGGTCAGAGGGGGAGGTACAGCCTTCTCCTTACAGATCGTCACCTGAACAAAGACACTCCACCTTCTGCAGACAGCAGGGCCATCCTCTGGGGCACCTTTACACATTTTGCTGGGGTCCTAGGAGTGGCTGTCATCTCAGAGGAAGGAGTGTGACCCAAGGCCCCAGGCCCATTCTCATTCCATCACCACCTGTGTTTGTCCACTGAGCCCGTGGCCCAGCCCTCTGTCCCTGCCAGCAACACCACAGTCACAGACAATAAGGACTCTGTGGTCCTGACCTGCTCCACAAATAACACTGGGGTATCCATCCACTGGTTCTTCAATGGCCAGAGTCTAAAACTCATGGACAGAATGCAGCTGTCCCAGGACAACAGCACCCTCACCATATGCCCTGTCAAGAGGGAGGATGCTGGGAATTACCAGTGTGAGGTCTCCAACCGAAGCAATTCCAGCAAAAGTGACCCCATCAGGCTGGATGTGAGCTGTGAGTGACCCTGAACCTCTCCCCCTTCCTCCCTGTATATTTTACTGACAGGGGTATAAAATGGATGTGGGCCTGGAGGAGGTGTGAGCTTCCTTCAGAGCCTCTAAGGAAATTTGGATAAAATACCCAGGAATTAGGTGTATCTTGTTAGCATCTTGGTTGTAATATGTACCAGCCATTGGACCTCAGGCAAGATGCTCATCCTCCTGAGCCTGTTTCCTAATCTAGAAAACTGTAAAGAACAGCTAGTTCTCAGGGCTGTTGTGAGGGTTGTTAATATGAGTTTATGAGATGAAATCCTGAGCCAGCATCATACACAGATTCGGGGCTCAGTCAAATATAACAGCTATTGTTCTTTTGTTACTAACGTTTTTGTTACTAGCTGTAACGTCTCAGGGAATTGAGATTAAGATTTGTCTTATCACCTTCCAGCTCTGTGACATTCACTGATTTACTGAAGCCCTTTACACGCTCAGATACTCATTTTGCACAGTGGGGGTGACACCCAGCCCCCTCATGGACAGCAAAGCAGCAGATGAGATAATCCTAAATTATTTCCCACATGCCTGGCACAGAGCCGACCTCAAAAGCAGTCACCTAATATTCTCTTTAATCAGTGAAGAGTGGACTGTTAAGGACCTCCTTCTAATACCACCGATGATGATGGAACAGAAGACAAGAGGAAGAGGCATAATGTGAGAGCAAAATGAACAGGATGCCAGGGCTGGCCCCAGGGGTGGGGATAAAATGTGAAGATTGGAGTAAGTCCAGGATTTCACTGAGGAACAGAATGACGCAAGGGTCCAGGGGGTGGGGACACTGTGGTGACAACACACACACCAGGCAGACCTCAGTGGCCTTTCTTTCCTCCCTAACCAGGCCCTTCCCCCACGGCCTCTCCTGGTTTCCCCAGATTTGACTTGAGACTCCTACCCCTTCCTTTTTCTTCTTATTTCAGATGGAAGAAGCACCACAGGTCTCCCTGTGGGGTCCATCATTGGCATTGCAGTCGGGGTCCTGGTCGGACTGGCACTGTCGGCCGCCCTGGGGTGTCTCCTGCTCCACACAAGGACTGGAAGGTACGATGGCATTTCCCACAAGCTGATCCAGTCCCCCAGCTGAGCCCTGGCCAGGAGGGGACCCCACCCTGACCTAGGATTCTGGGCTGGCTCTTCCAGGCACCCAACTGCCCCCTCGATTTTCCCTCTCATTCCCTCTGGCTCCTTCCTCACCAGCTGCTGCCTGGGGTGCTTCCTTCACATATTCCTCAGTTATAAATTAGGGGCAACTAGGGAACAGCCCCTCAGGGTTGTCCTGGTTCAATTGGCAAACCTGCAGTGGTGCTTCCAGGACTAAGTGCTCAATAAACAGCACTTCCCGTGTTTTATTTATGTCCACACTCCCTGTGAGGGGGAGTTGCAGCCTCAGGATCTGAGGCTGGTCCTGGTCAAGGTCACACAATGGAGAGTAGAAGATCCTGACAGGCCAGGTGGGGTCATCCCCCAAATGGCAGATGTGGGAACCATAGCCCCTGTTGTGTGAGAGCAGAGAACCTGGGCTCAGCCAGGGGGAGGTCCTGGGATGCCCTTTATGCCTCTTGTCCAGGCAGATGGAGATAAAAGATGGTCCACTATCACATTTCAACATCTCCTGGCCTGAGGGGGCAAGGGTGTGACCACAGCAGGGGCACCACATTCAGAGATCCAGCTTACTTACCTGGGGCTCCCCAACTGTCCTTCAAATGCAGCTGCAGGCTTGACCCTTCTACTAGGTCAAACCTTCATGTTTGATTCCTTTTCTGGGTCCTCCATCCCTTTCAGGACACTTTCTCCTAGATGCCCATCAGCCTACGGGTCTTCACCTCTGGGCTCCAAAGACCTTTCCTAATCCCCTCTCCTGGGCCCTCCCTCTCCTAAACAG